AAAAAAAAAAAAAAAAAAAAAAAAAAAAAAAAAAAAAAAAAAAAAAAAAAAAAACATAAAAAATGAATTAAGTATTTTTATAAAAGAATAAAAAAAGTTTCTTGTTACGCTCTGCATACAGCACACAATTTGAAAATGCTGACGAGCTTAATGGTATGTACTGTTTACTTACTGATGGATGAAAATTTTTCAATATCTTTTTTCCGATAAAATTCACTATGTATCGTATCTGTTATTACGGTGCATAAAAAAAAACCTAGTTGCCTGCGATAAAAATTTGTTCTAATTAGATTATACAGCTATTCGCGCTTTTCCGTTGGTAATTTGTGCGAAGAAGAAAAATAAAACACTCCGCGACCAAACAACCGGTTTCCCGATCTCTAACGAATTTATTTATAAAAATATTCTCTTTCTCATTCCATATAAAAGTTACAAGCGTGGGCTGGTGGTTTTCACTTCAATTTTAAAAATTTCGGTGTACGAACGAAGCCGCGCTCCCGCATATTCGCGTGTATGTACACGTATTCACTGAAACATAAAATACGAAGTCGTTACGTGTCACGGATATTTACTGCTATACTCTCGCAAGTACGTTATATATTCGTCAGAAGTGTCTATAATTAGAGATGCTTCATTGCAATTCTTTCTCGTATTTTTATTTTCAGCCTGTAGGAAATTCCGGGAAAATGCGTGTTTTTATTGGTGATTTTTTTTTTTTTTTTTTTACGTTCGACTATGCTGGTAATTTTGTCAAACTGGTCGAAAATAATATTAAATCGAAGCTACGAATACTTATTTTTTCTCCGAATAGTGTGTTTAGTGTAACCACAGTGGGATACAATTATGTTAAAGATTTTTAAGCTCATAAAAATGCAATTTTTTTCGAAAAATATTTATTGTATTATTTCCTTTCATTTATTTAAGCTTCTGTGACAAACAGTTTCATCTTAGTATGATAAGGATATTAGATAATTTTCGGGGCACATTGATGGGTTCGACTGGGTTGTCCATACATGAATTTTTTTTTTTACAATGTATTGAGTGTGTTTTGTAATGTATTGAATGTTTTTTTAGTACAATGCATTGACAGATGCAACAAAAGAATTAGCAAAATCACGCATTGATTCGTATTCAAATTTTCAAAAGCGTCACTGCGTACATTTTCGTATTTAATTATATTATGAAATGAAATTAAAATTGATGGTGTTGAAAATAGAAAGGAAAGTGCGAAAGTAAAACTAACAATGTTTTCCTTGCAGTACCCAATGACGATGGTCTACGACACGACGAGGAAAAAAGAGCCACCGTCCGGGATATCCGTACAGTTCGGCCGCGAGCAGGACCAATGTATGAAATACTTCGAGAAGTGGAGTGAACCAGAGCAAGTGCACTTTGTCGAGCAGCTGTTGGCTCGCATGTGCCACTATCAGCACGGCCACATCAATGCCTACCTCAAGCCCATGCTGCAGCGCAACTTCATATCGCTACTGCCGAGTGAGTACTTGAGCGGAAAATCATTTTATACATTTTTAAATAAGCACTGCGAAATAAAGTTTTCATTCAAAAATGTGATGCATCGTTTTTGTTCATTGTTTTTTTGTTTTCATCAAGCACTTGTTGTAATGTAGCACCCGATATAAATATTACGATAAAAACAGAGGTTACAGTTTGCTGCAGTACAATAATCTAGTCTCTCGTTTTAGCTATTCAAAGTGATGACCTCAATTGTACGGTACATTTTAAATGATTTTCAAGAAAAGTGTTAAATTTTATTACCATTATTACTATTATTGAAACAAACAAAGAAAAAAAGATATCATAAAGTATTATCCCCATCTCCCTCTGACTTTATTTCAATACTAGAATCATAAATTTTTTTGACTAGCATAATCAATGAAATTAAAAACAAAAAAAAACAAAAATACAATTTGATTTTTTAAAATTGCAGAAAAGGGCCTCGACCACATAGCGGAGGGCATTCTCTCCTACTTGGACAACGAGTCGCTGGCCGCGGCTGAGCTGGTCTGCAAAGAATGGCACCGCGTCATCAGCGAGGGTATGCTCTGGAAAAAGCTCATCGAGCGCAAGGTCCGCACCGACTCGGTCTGGCGCGGTCTCGCCGAGAGGAGAGGATGGTCAGTTGCGTCTCTTACAACTCCGAATAGTTTAATTTTTCTTTTCTGAAAAAAAAAAAAAAATAAAAACAAAAAACAAAGATTTGTCCATTATAAACCATAACACAACCCCCACACAGGATCAAGTACCTGTTCAAACCGCGTCCGAACGAGAGCCACCCGAACCACACGTTCTACCGGGATCTATTCCCAAAGATAACGCGCGACATCAAGAGCATCGACAACAACTGGCGCAACGGGATCTTCAATCTCCAGCGAATAAACTGCCGTAGCGAAAACTCGAAGGGTGTCTACTGCCTCCAGTACGACGATAACAAGATAGTATCGGGTCTTCGCGACAACACCATAAAAATCTGGGACCGGAATACCCTCCAGTGCACCAAAGTCCTCACGGGGCACACAGGCTCGGTTCTCTGCTTACAATACGACGACAAGGCCATCATTTCCGGCTCGTCGGACAGTACCGTGCGTGTCTGGGATGCCAATTCTGGCGAGATGGTCAACACCCTCATACACCACTGCGAGGCTGTTTTACATTTGAGATTCAACAACGGCATGATGGTCACCTGCTCGAAGGTGAAGCTTTGGTTTCAAACTGACTTAAACTTACTTTTTTTTTTTTTTTTTTTTTTTNCAACAACAAAACCACATAGTTGACCGGACACTGCCCTCTATGTATATATACACATACTTCGAATGTAGTTTTTTTTTTTTTTTTTTTTTTTTTTTACTCTAATGTTTTTGGACATTTCGAGCTCACTCGACGCGCATTTCAACAACAGTAGATCACTCGTTTGTTTGTTACACGTCAGTTAGTTAAATTTTTCTAAAGTTATAGTGATTAGTTCAAGATTGAAATGTCCAAATGTCCACGATTCTCTACTTTGAGTTTTCTCAAGAAATTATGTTTGACTTGCAAGAACAATGACGAAAAATACCTTTCACCTCCACAGGATCGTTCGATAGCAGTGTGGGACATGACGTCCCAGACCGAAATAGCTTTGCGACGCGTGCTGGTGGGCCACCGAGCGGCTGTGAACGTGGTGGACTTTGACGAGAAGTACATAGTGTCAGCCAGTGGTGACCGAACCATCAAAGTCTGGAACACGTCGACCTGCGAGTTTGTGCGCACATTGAGCGGCCATAAGCGTGGTATCGCTTGTCTCCAGTATAGGGATCGGCTCGTGGTCAGCGGCAGTAGCGACAACACCATCAGACTCTGGGACATCGAGTGCGGCGCTTGTCTGCGCGTTCTCGAGGGCCACGAAGAGCTTGTTCGATGCATTAGGTTTGATAGCAAGCACATTGTCAGTGGTGCATACGATGGGTATGTGTTTTTTATTTTTTCATTATATCCTTCTTCTCCGTTTTAATTTCATTAATTTAATTTTATTCGTGTTTCTCAATATTCAGTAAAATCAAGGTGTGGGACTTGGTGCAAGCATTGGATCCTCGATCGGTTGCCACCAGTCTGTGTTTGCGAACTCTAGTGGTGAGTAAACGTGTATATGAGTCATAATAAAGTTCTATTTTATTGGTTGTACATTTGTGTCTTTAATTCACTTGGACTTAAAATCATTGTTACAGGAGCATACCGGTCGCGTTTTCAGACTTCAGTTCGACGAATTCCAAATCGTCTCATCCTCACACGATGACACAATCCTTATTTGGGATTTCCTAAATATCAATCAGGATGGCTCGAGTAGCGAGACTAGCAGCGCCAATTTCCGTAACAACTCGTCGATCAATGTCAATCAATCCGATACCAGATCTCCATCTCGTATGTATTAGGATTATTTATACTGCGAAAGATCGAAAATCAAGTATCTTTGCATTCTATTATTATTATCATCTAACTTTTTGTTATTTCTGCCAACAGCATTTGAGTGACGCATCAACACGATGATTCCTTTATTGTGATATAATTGTAAGTATTTTAACATTTTTATTTATAAATTGTTTGAAAAAAATTGTGAATGTACATACAAATTTTATGGATGTGGCTCATGAAAATCTTTTTTTTTCCAGACAAATGGTTAATGAGTGATTTAAATGTGTTCCCGATAACATGCGCAAATGACGAAAGACAAACGCAAGTGGCAGCAGCAGCTTGCATCGTACGCAAGTTATCGTGATCGCAAAACTCAATAATTGGATGGATAGACTATGGTCGATAACTTCCGGCTCGACCAAAAACTCGAAATCAAGAGCAGCGGTATTTTTCACAAGGTTTTCAAAATGGATAAACGTAATGAGCAAACTAAAAATTGACTTTCATTATTACGTCTGGAAATGTAGTGATAGACTGACAGCGCTAGAAAAAAATACATCCTATGGATGCAAGGGAAGGAAAGAAAGAGTAGTGGATTACTAGCACTTTTTTGGCTCACCAAAACACGTGTATCCAAAAAAGAGGGAAAGAGAGAAAACTCTTTGTTCTGTGTATGACATAAGTTGACTGCTTTTTCCTACTCTATGTAAGAATAAGAAGGTGTTCAGAAAAATAAATTAAATTGGAAAATCGTCAAAAAGACTAAACCACCAAGAGGGATTGTTTTGAGGGAGGCTGACTTGGATTTAAAAAATGATGAAGAAAATAAATAATAACTAGATGTATAATAGAACATTTTTTTTAATGTAACTAATTTATGGCAAAGAAAGAAAGTATCGTAAAATATCGGTTGCTTGGAGTACTTATTTTAGTGAACTTGTGTGACTGTTAGTATCGAAGAAATTCAAGATTGATCAAGACAAGAATATTAAAAAAATATACAGATTATGGGAAACAAATAGAATCATTGTAGTTAACGTTTATGATTTGAGAAATTGAGAATCGTGCAAATCTTGCTATGGATAAGCTTGATAATTCCACAGAAAAACGATGGTATACGTTAGCGTCGTTTTGAAAGCTAAATCTTGAATGTACAGTAAATATTTTGTCCCTTTGTAAGAAGAAAACAGGGCTCGACGGTGGTGTCAATTTTTTTTTTTTTTTTTTTTAATTTTGGGGCAGGAGACTTGTATTGTTATTTTTACTGACTAGCTAAAAGTGACGAAAACACGCGTTACTTCCAAACATAGAAAAATTGTTTGTCTGCTAAAGTCTTAGCTACGATGCAATGCCATTAAAGTTCTGTTATATTTTGAAATTTGTAAATAGCGCGATGCCGCAAACGCAATGTGATCAATTCCGAAATCCGATCAAATTTTTAATTGTGTACCGTCACAACATGCGTTCATGTAACTGTGTTCTAAATAACTGTACATTAAAAATTTTAACGGTTTTTAAAACGAATTTTTGGAACCAAGGTCGATACTTATGTCAACTATATTAAAATTAATTTTTTTACTTTTTGTTTACATCTAATTAGTGAGAAATTCGAAAAAAGACGATGCGTTAGTTTTATATAATTTTTACAAATCTATATTTAATTTATCTAAGACATTAGCAATCGAATAAAATTAAGTAGTATTTCTTTTCAAATTGTACTTTTCTGTTTATTAATACTTGCAATTTGTTTGAAAAATTCAAAATAAGTCTTGCATTGGTCAGTGACGCAAAACAATGGTCTGATTTTGTTTAGAAATTTCTTATGTGTTAATGAACTTTAAAAAAATTAATATGTACATATTTGATAAAGTTCTAGGTTGTTTGCAGTTTGCAACATCAAATAATACCATCAATATCTCTGTAGTTTAACAATTCGCATATAAAATAAAAAAACAGACTGAAAAATAATTTGTTACACGTGTGTATGGTTTTGAATCTGTTTGTAATACCTCAATGTATCTTTTTTTATCAATAAGAAAATTTTTCATTAGCAAAGAAGAGCGTCATCATTATGTTTAATAAATTCATGTAAATATTTCTGAATAAAGTAAAGCCACATTGCAAAAGCTACAACAGTTTCTATTCTTATTCGTGTCATTTGATATTTCAGCCTTTAAAAAAGTCTCGGATTTCGAAACTCATTTTGAAACTCTTTTTTAAAAAAAATTAAACTCTGAATAAAAGAAAAGTCTAGTGTAACGTACGGAAGTCTTTCCCATGTAACACTAGTAAGTATGTAGGGTTGGCAGATGAAAACTTAGCAATTCATAAAATATAAAATTTAAAGAAGTGTATCGAGGCTGTGCAAAAAGTCATGAATCAATATTATATTTCATTTTTATATGTTTAGCTAATGCAAATATTTCAACCAATGTACAATATTTGTCATTCTAACGGTTTTTCTCTTAAAATAATTATTTTACTATCTTACCGAAAGAGATATTAACTAGATTGCAATAAGGTCATAGTTAGTTAGTTCTTGATCATCTAAACCATGTTATAATATGAAAATTACTATTATTGCGACTAAAAAATATAAATAAATGAAAAATGAAAAAAAGTGGATGAGTGTATTAAAGATTAAGAGAATAAGTTATGTAATTACTAAAACATAGCAATGGTATGAAAAAAAATTCTATTTGAGATCTCTTATCAACATACTCGTTATTTTTTTTCTTTACTTACCCAGCCCAAATAAAAGTTTTGAAAATTATTTTTTTCGAAACTGATATGCTTTTACGCAATATTTTCCTGTATACATTTGTGAGTGTATATGAAAGTTATTAATCTAAACGCGAGTTACGTAAAATATATAATGTAGTTTGACACTAACAATTTTTTTAAATATTTTAAATAAATAATACGTACCCCTTTTTGCTTTCAAGAAAATCACTACAAAAATGTACAGTAGACTAGTAAAAAAAATAATTTTTTACAACCAGTGCCATCTAGCGTGGCGAATTCGAACTAAAAAGTACCCTTAAAACTTCCAAGGAATATCACTAGATAGTTACTAGGCTAACAACTTTCTAGTGATTTTTCTTTTTTTAGGGAAGTTTTAGGGATACTTTTTAGTTCGAAATTCACAACGCTAGACAGCGCTGACTAGATTGTTTTTAATTCTAATTATTCTCGAAAGTTAAAATCGGTTGGTATTGTAAAGTAAATCGCGCAGTAGGATACCTACAAGAAAGAAATTAGAAATACGACTACTCAGAATTTTTATTAATAAATCTGGATACAAAGTTGCATAGTTTAAACGGCATGTTATAAAATTCCACAACAAATGAGCTTCAAGTATACTTGTTAAGACAATTTTATCAAATTGTTTTTTAACCCGTTGTTTTACTTTCAGCTCCAAGCAATGAGCGACGACAGTGTGATTGTTTTGAGTGATGACTGTCCAGACGCAGATGGTAATGGTGAGAAAAGAAAATCCAAAGATCACTCTATTTCAAGAGACAGTGATGGTAGTGAATTCGAGTTTCCAATCGTTCGCTTTAGCGAAATAAATTATGTACCAAGTTCAAGAAAAGATACGAAAGATGCGAAACCAGAAGAGAAAGAAAAAGATATTAATAATAAAAATTTGAGAAGAAAGAGAAGCAGAGAAAAATCTGTCGACAGTTTACAGAATTTAGTAACAGATAGTTTAACAGAGAAAGATTGGAGTGATTCCGATTTTCCACTTACAAATATTGAAAGTTATGATGCGAAAAATAACTGTCGAAAGTCTGAAAATGATTCTGACTATGAATCACAATATCCTCCTAAACAGAATCTTAGAGGCGATCTAATGGATGTTGAATTATCTGATGACCGTGAAGAGGCTCATGAAACTGAAAAAACTGTGAAAAGAGTAGTTAGAAGAAAAAAGAAAGGTAAGATGAATAATGCTGATTAGTTTTTTGATTTGAAAATTGAGCATCCAACTACACTACTTTTTAACTGTTTTAATCTTCAGCTCAGCAAACAGAAGCTGTTAATAAAGATAGTGGCTCTAAGCTTACTAAAAAACAACGTCCAAAAGTAGCTTCAAAGACTAATCCTAAGGATTGCATGAAATCTATGGAAGTAATAATAGATGAAGGAGTTAAAAAATACGATTTTTTTAATGATTTCTCTAGAACTGCTACAGAAAATGAACTCAAATACAGCATAAAGTCACAGCTGATACCAAACAGTATAACTTGGAAACGGAGAGCAGAAGTAATTTATGATGAAAAGGAAGTAAATATCGAAGTAGTGGATGAAAATCAGTTGGTAATTATTTGGGATTGTGAAGAAACTATCAAGCACGTGTCTGAGAATACTCTAATTCCTGCTATTTCAAATATAAAATCGATGATGCCTTGCCAACAAATATCACTTATTTTATACAAAACACAAGGTTACTTCAAATATTCAAAAAGTGCAAAAGATCAAACGGCACAAAGTAGTGCAGGTAACTTTATTTTAATTAATTATGTCGAATATAATCAACGCATCCTATCAGCAAGATAATACGTTATGTTAATTCCGTTTTTTTTTTTATTAAGCGTTATAATCATTAGTAATAAACTAATATTTGTTATTAAGGTCGAGTGTTTTTTTTTAACATACATCAATAAGATATTTCTATAAAAATTGTATGTATATTTTAGATAACAACAAGCAAAATAAAAATAGAGCTAAGACTGGCAAAGGTTTCTCAAATTATTCAAAAGTATCCAGGGAACAATTGGAAGATCTTTTAGTTGAAATTCAGATGTTGTTTAATGCTCATTCTAGATTGATAGACAATGCAGATGACATGATTTTGATGATAAAGCAGTATACAAAATCTCTAGCTACTCGCCAATCGAAAATGGAAAAGGAAGAAAAATTGTCAGAGCTTCATTGGTGCATCAGCGTTGATAATAAAGACTCGGTTAAAGTTGACAAAGATGGAAATGGGTTTAGTAGGCTGTGGCAGCAGCAACTATGTCAATTTCCTCAGGCAAGTTTAGAGACTGCTGAGGCTATCACATCAGTGTATAAAACTCCCTTTCAGCTGATGGACGTGAGTGGCTTCATTTTAAATTTGTCACATTTGAGTTACTATTTTTAAACAAGTGCTACTTTTTAGGCTTATGAAAAATGCACTGAAGGCGTAGGAGAGATGCTGTTAAAAGACATTCCTGTGAGTAACTGAGTATATGTATAATTTTAATCAGTAAAATTTTAAGAGGCACACGTCATTCATTTCGACTTTTGTACATGCAGATAAGGAGAAACGCTGGAATCCTTACTTCATCAAAAAAAATTGGCCCAGAATTAAGTAGAAAAATATATTTAATGTTTACAGCTATGGATGGAGATATTGATTTAAAATAGTATTATAAATTATTTGACTGTTTGTTGACATGAGATAAATCAAGTTTTTTCAGTATTTACAAGGATAATTAATGTTTGTTATTTACAGTGTAAAATTAATACGTAAGTTGTAAATTGTAAAAAAAATGTAAGAGAATATGTAACTGTATTGCGATTTATCATTTGTAAATGTTGAGAGAAAAAGTAATACTTAGGAGGCTTAACTAAAAATAAGTCCATAAAATAGCATCCTTTAAAAAGAAATTATGTAACAAGAGTTTATTTAAAATGTAATATTGTATTTGTTTTGGGAGTTAAAAATAATAGGAGTTAAAACCAGTCAAATGCTTTGAAACTTTTATTTTTCATTAAATTTTAACCTTTGTAAAATCTTTTAAATTACAAAAATCTTCTTAAATTATTTTTAATACATTTTTAATGAAATTCATCAGTCAGTCTTTATTAACATTTAGGTATCTAATCAAAGAATGAAGAATTTAAAAAATTCAATATATTTACATTTAAATCTACGCATTTGTAAACTATCTCTTTCTGCACTTGGTTTAAGCACTGCTCAATATCAAAGCAGAAATCTTAGTATCTACAAAAATATAAAATACCATTTACAAACATACATACACATGTACTGCAAGTTTATAATGTAACTAAAAATCTCTACGTAATCATATATATGTATTTATGGTAACCAATTGGATCCCTAATTTATCAAGCTTTCTTGTTGCTGTCTGATTCATTCGCGTTGGGCTGCAGTTCTCCCAAGAAGTCCTCAGAAAGTCTTGGTGCTGCTTGGATGTATTTGACATCCGTCTTGCGTTCGATGAACAACAGTTTGTTAGCGTGAGTTCTACCATTATTCTTGGACAGCATAACTGGATTGGACTTCTCTTCGACGTCGGTCCTCTTTGTCAAAATGATCTGGGTATACTTGATCTGCGTCTGAGCTGAGTTGGTTGTCCTACTTGCGCTGCTGACTTGTGGCTGAATCAAAGTAGGCTGGACCCTACTGTTAATGAAGTACACCTTATTGCTGCAGACTTTCAGAGGTGGTGGTATAGTACCAGGGCACGCTTTCTTAGATGCAGTTGAGGACAGAAGGGATGGTGTGTCCAACTTTGAAAGGCTGCCAAAATTTTTGAGATTTTCATCGTCCTTGGCGATAATTATTGGGATGTCGAGAATATTCTCCAAGCCAACGTCAAGGTTGATGTTCGTGGGTATGCTTGGATTGAGCTGATCTCTACTCGTCGTCGTCTTGCATCGGTTGGTATCGATAGATTCGGAGCTCCTCTGTAAGAATTTGTTAAAGAATTTTTTTTTTGTTTTTTTCTACTCAAGTATCAGATTTTCACGAAAAGCTGTAAACGTTGTACGCATTCCTAAATATTTTGTTTTACTTTAAGAGACTGTTTTTATCAATGCTGAAAAAAAAAAAAAATTAACAATCAAGGGAGAATTAATAGGTTTATGAAGTATTTCAATGACAAATTATAAAGTTAGCGTGAATGGAAATTTTGGAAAATGACCCACAAAACGTCAAGCGTCAGTTATGATTTTGATAATGAATGAAGTTGGGGCTCGTGCGTTTTTGAGCAAACCATGAGTTGGCAGTTCTAGTTTAAAAAAGTGAGTACAGGTAATATAAAATTACATTTTTGCAAAAACAGAGGGAAAAACGCTGGAGTTCAAGTTTTCACTGTCAATAACAGTAGTGAGTTTTCACTCCTTTAAATCAGTAACAATTAAAAAATTTTTAAGCATACGTAAACAAATTCAGCAAGTACAGATGCAAACTTCAAAATCATTTTCAATTGACCAAGAATCCTGCAATGTCTACATACATGGAAAAAAAAAAAATTGGTTATTAAATTCAATACCGTCTCGTGCATCTAACATAATTAGTGGGAATGGCATGGACGGGGATTGTAGAGCCCATACCTTGGTAGCGCTCTTGTCCACAGTCATCGACTGGACGGTGGGGGCATTATGAGGAGCTTGCTTGGCTTGTTTGTCCAAGCTGGAACTCTTGGGAAAAGAAGAAGGGAAGGAAGTCTTCGAGGAGCGGCTCGTCTGCGTGGTGGATCTTGCCTTGGCACCGCTGCTACTGAGTTGTACTTGTTGCCGCTTGTTACAGCCAATCAGAGCATTCTTGCCGTCCGTTACTGGAAATGCACAATGAGACGCACACACACACACAATTCCCTATATCTGTCTGTTTCTTTTTTTATTCATCCTTTGGCTACCGGTTTTTTAAATTTGTTTATTATATTTTGAGCAGAATTTACTTGCGTGGGTCATCATTAAGAGAATCGTTTCACATTTCTTTTATTTTATTGGTGAGTGACGTGCGTCGAACATTTGATAAGTAAAGTTTGCTCAACTGTTTTTGTCTGACCTACTTATTTTTTTTTTAAATAATTGATTTTCATGGTGTTGGTGACTCACAAAGTTTATGATTCATATTAAATGAATAAAGTAAATGTATGAAAAAAAAAAAAAAAAAAATCAATGGAAAATGAAAATAATAAAACTAGTTGAAATAAAATTGTTAATTTGAAAAGGATAAATAGGATATTTTTGAAGTAAAGGATATAGGAAAAAATAAATTAAATAAATAATAAAGTTTATTGCAACAAAAACTAAAAATATAAGGTATGTTGAAATTTTAGTAAAAATTTTTTGCAACTAATAGAAAATAGTTACAAATTGTTCATTGTAAAAATATCAAATCCATTTTAAAATAAGGAAATATTTACAATTCATACAATACAATTATTTTATCAATTCATTAACGTTACTAAAGATATATCACAGTATAAATACTTTTAACGAAAATGTTTTTCATTGAAATTTCAATTTTATTAGACAATAGATAAAACCGTTTTGATATGAAAAGATTCGAGAATATTTTTGCACATATATACCCTATGATAAAATAATTATTCTTCCGAGTCATGGAAAGTTATTTGCTTATCATTGTCAATGCAACAAAATATTAACATTTTTATGTTTATGTATATTAATATCTACCGTTTACGAATGAAAAGTCTCAGATTTGAAGAAATTTATGTACATATTAGAAGGTATTTCATCTACCTTTAGAGGGTGTCATTAACGATGCCAATGTCGCTGATGTAGCCACTGTTGTATTTTTTGGTGCAAAAACAACATTTGCAGTTGATTTTGCTGTTGCAGCATGGATGGAATTCATAGTACTTTTTGTTGTTTGGATACCCGGCAAAGGACCAAAATTTGAGGCACTTTCAGCAGAAGCTTTCGTAGCAATGGCTGCAATATAAATTTATGTACCACTGTTAGTAAATTTACACTTTTGTCAGCACCACTATTTCACCACACTGTTGTTAAATGCCACTTACTTGCCGCAGCAGCCTGTTGCGCTTTAACATTATTGGGGGCATTGGACATCTTATCACCCATTTTCTCAGTGACATTAATGTTTTTGTGATTCAAAGATGCACGCTGCGAGGTGGCCTTTTTCGTTGGCATTAGCATCTTGATTTTACCAACGTTCTGCCCTGTACCCCCGATCGTGTTTACTTGATTGCCTTTCGTTACTTTAATACAGGTATTTGTCGAAGTCTTAACCGTACCAGCTTTAGTACCCGCCGGTGATACTTGCAGACTTATGGGCGTGGACTCGAATCGTATTGGACCTACAGGTGCTAGACTTGCCAGGGAGCCGATATTCAGAGTGATCCCACCCGTTGAATTGTCTATATTCTGTTAATAAACAAAAAAACAATAGTTCACAATAGGCGCTGTGGCATACATTTTATTTTAAAAGTACGGAAAAAAAAAAATTCTCACTTGTGAGGCGAGTTGCGACGATACCTGTTGCTCCGAGAAGTTATGGAAATTCACCCTAGCTTTTCTCTTGGGTGTCTGTGTGCTTTGCGTTCCTGTTAGCTTAACCATAGCCCCTCTGGATGGTGCATTGGTCGAAATACCCGAGACATTATTGTGCACATTGGCTTGCGATGGAGACTGAGTCTTTCCTCTCTTCACACAGGGCGACTGAGGCTCGCTGTCCAGCGAACAGCTGCTCGTTGAATTTTTGCGTTTTCTCGAGTCGTTGGTTCTTCTGTCTGTAGATGCAGATGATATAAGTGATTGGATAAGTTTATTTTTAATCAATAAAACTCAGTTCCATTGATTTTCTGTAACAAAACTCACTCTTGTTATCAGGATTCGTCGTGCGTACGGGCATCGGAGTCGGCTGCGTGAGCACGCCGCCCACGAAATCCGCAATCTCTTCGAGCACGCATCTGTCCACGATACCTTGACTGAGCCGTTCGGTCATCTTTTTCGACGTGGGAATCCGCAATTGATCGTCAGCCGAGCCCACGACGACGAGGCTCGTTGGGACAAGCATACGCTCGCGCATGGCCTCGACATCGTCAACGCGCGCCACCGATGCCTTCTCGCCAATAACGAACATCACTGAGCAGCGGAGGTCAAGCATGAGGTCATCTGACGATCCTCGCTTACCGTCTACCGTGCTCAGAGGAAAGCCCAGACACACGATTGCTGTCACATGCTCTGATAAGCCAACCTGCAATTTTGTTTTAGTCGATAAAGTTGGGGTAGTCTTGGGATTGAAATGATGAAAGTGGATGGAGTACCTGACACGCTATGCCAGCTCCGGTGTTGAAACCAATCAAGATAATTGGCCTGTTAGGCAATTCTACTTTTACATCCTGAATCTTGGTTCTGGATGCCTGTACCAACTGTTCAAGAGTATTCAATACAGTCATTCTGTTGGCATTCAAACTGAGATTTGCATTTACAGTGACGACAGTGCCTAGCATCCCCAATTGTGTTGTCCACTTGTGTTGACGAGATGTGACACTGCTCGACATTCCATTGGGAATGATTATCAGTACTGGATTGCCGGGTAGTTTTTTCTATGAGAGTTGCATACTATTTTAAAAATGATTTAAAAAATTTCAGAAATCAATAGTAGAAGCCGTGTAATTACCGGTCTGAAGACGTTTAACATTGGAGCAACAGGATCCCAAGATTTTTTTAACAGAGGCCCGAGTGTTTCCCACGTAACAGCGTTACCCTTGGAATTACCATTTGGCTGTACCGTGATCATTTTGTCGATGAGCTGAGGTATTTTTTGTCTCAAGCTTTGCAGTATATCCAAGTAAATAGTCAGGTAATCTTGTGGCAAATGATCAAAGAGCAAACTGTGCAACCACTGAGTGACTCTCCAGTCCCAATGAGCAGACGACAGTGCCTCACGAAATTTTTTTGCCGTCAAATCAATGCTCGTGCGTCGTAAAATTGGCTCGTGAACGGTTTTTTCTTTTGTTAGTCTCACCATTCTTTCGTGACTCAATATGTTGGCAACTCTGTCGAAAATTCGCTTTTGCACAGGTGACCAAAGAATTTTGTCGATTTTCTCTTCCCAATCGTCCACATCTTCGGTTCTTATGAAGTTTGATACTCTCTGAAATTCAGCCATGGTCTGTCGAATTTTCGATAGATCAAAGGGAGGCACTGGTGGTTCCTCGTCTATCTCCTCTACATCAATAAGATCGTCGTCCTCTTTTTCTCTACAAATACATAAAACATTGTTTTACCAATCCTTGTTGACACAAAAATATCAAGTAGTACAACTAATAAATTTTACTTGGCGACTGCGTTGTGAGATTTTGAAAAAAAAATTTTCTTGATAGGCCTGACAAATACGCTTTCAGGTTTCCAGTTCCAGGGCCTGGCATAATTGTGATCTTTCATTATCATATTAGCTTCAACTTCATGGTTGCCGGCAAGGCTGTGCAAGTAAGCTATCAGTTTATTTGTACTCTCATCTTGGAAATCGTCAGTTGGACTGGTCAATCCAGTGCTGACTGTTGGATTTGGTAGATTCAAAGAAATTGCCGTCAGCTGCATTTTGACTGATTTGTTTCGACTAGATCTTGTTGTAGAATCAGTCATTTATAACTGTTATTCTTTGTACTTCTTAATCTGTAATAATAGTGGTAAGTAATAACAACTTTGCTATTCAATTCGATTGAATGAAACGATATCAAAGTAGACTGTACTCATAACAAATAAAATTCAATTTCAAACTGTAAATAGGACGATAAAGTAAGCAAAACATTGTACCCTGCAGTTTTATTTTTACATAACAAGAGAAGTCCCACTCAATTATACACTATACACTCTTATGAAAGACGTTAACGACATTAGATTGAGTACATTGTATTGCAACAAAACATGTGAGGAATGGAAATTTTTATGATTAAAATAAATAAGTATGACCTGCATCCAGCAGAATCCATGAGAATAACTTTGCTTCACTCATCACCAACATAAAAAAAAAATTAACTAACTGCATAGCGCTTTTACATGTATTTTTGTGAAATAGCTGCTAAAGTGAAATTGCAAATTATTTAATCACTAGACTAGATGGCAAGTACAATGAACAACAATAAAGAATACTCCCAACTTCAACCCTTAAACGTAACTTTATATAAGTAGTCAATGAATTCAAACAATTCAGACTAAAGAGTCCTTACTTCGTACTTTTAAATTTTAACTATGAGCACAATGGGCCTACCATGTATTACCTTAAAACGATGCCGGCGACTGAGTCTTTAGCCAGCTGCATCTCTTTCTCTCTCGAGAGCTGCACTTGGCTCTGGGTATATTGGAAAATCACCATTTACTATACTACTACGACTACTGAAACTACCCAGGCATTATAATAATACTAAGGAAAGAGGCCCGCAATGCACTATCATCATATAACAGGAGTTTCAAGCTTCTAGCAGCTCGGGAGCACAGCCAAATTTATAACTCAGCCTGCAGTTGCGTCAGCTAGCCTTGGCGATTTTCCAAAGAACATCATCTGCACGGGTTGCGTGAACAAATATATTTTTATTGCACTTGTAGATTTTTTAGAACAGACTAAAAATGAAGGCTGTTGTGGAAAAAAAAATGACAAGAACATAAAAGCAACAAGCAACGTGATGATTGAATTGCACACAACTGCGTGTGCGTTTACTTGCGTTCTGTTCAGTTCTTTGGCAACGACTGGCAGACATTTTTTTTCTAGGCAACGTTGCCACGCTCATTGTTACTCCCACGAAGTTTGGCAACACTGCGGACACTGTTCATACAGCGCACGCGCGCGATTAATGATTTTTTGATTTTGCCCCGGGAAAATTCAAAATAGGTGTTTTTAGGCAAAATAAATTACGCGTGTGGATGGATAACTTTAATGAAATTATAAAAGTTAGCGTCAAACTGTGTTTTGATGTGAACCTTTAGTGGTCGGACACTTACTTTATTTTCCTTTTATGAGAATATTCCGTGGTGGATGCCTCATTTGTTTGGATTCAACAACTGCCTCCAATCTTTGAACGTGCAAAAAGCATAAAAAAAGTGTATAGAATTGCACCTATAAGGCCTGTGTTATTTTTCCCCCAAGTGTCTATATATATATATCACGAGAGTCACGTGACCTTTTAGAATACCAATACGTGACGTGAAGTTACGTGTAGTAATTATAGTAAGTAATCACTAGATCACTACTAACTTACTAAGTAATGCCATATGGTCGATTTTATTAAACCATATGAATATATTTATTTTTGGAGGTCGACTTTTGGGTAAAAAATAGATTGTAAACTTGCCGCAAATCGCACAAACCACGTCAGTTTTTTATTATCTATCTATCAGATTAGTTGCGGCTGGTTTATAATTGATTAAATGGCTTTAATATAAGAAGTGATAATTATTTGGATCAGCGCCATCTAGCGTTGCGAATTTCTGAACTAAAAAGTGGCCCTAAACTTTTGAACCAGAGCTTTAGCGCGTAGAGCCATTTAGTCAGTTATAAACCAGCCGCAACTCATCTTGTAGCTACAAAATGAAAAAATAACAATACATGTGTTTTTGGCGGCAAGTTGACAATCTATTTTCTATCAAAAAATCGATCTCGTATGTGTTTATACTTTTGAAGATATATTTTCGAGCATAAGATATATTGTTAACTTGCCGCCAAAAACACATGTATCGTTATTTTTTTATTTTATAGCTTCGTCATGAGTTGCAGCTGGTTTATAATTGATTAAATAGCTCTAATTCTGAATGCTCTGATTTAGAATTTTAGGAGCCACTTTTGGCCAAAAAATAAAGACCGCTAGATGGCGCTGATCCAAATAATTATTGCTATACTTACAGTAAAGTTACTTCATTAGTTATAAACCAGCCTCTTATACCTCTACAGTGTCTACAGGTAGACGGTACTGACGGTAGACTCTGCGGCCTATCGCTCTATATCTATACCTATATGCTCTTTCGTCAAAACTCGTGTGCGCCGTCTTCGCTGTCGCGCACGCCATTGTCGTATTTCTTATTTTTCACTATATATACAGCGTGTCGTCACCGAGGACACCGAGGTGACCGGCTTTTTTCTATAACTTCTTGGCGAGCACCTACAGTTATACAATAATACACAGGTACTCCGCAACTCTTGCGCTCTAGTGACAAACGGCCAGCGAGTATTGTGGCAGCCAACAAGTGTAACAACGTCCTCGAGGACGAAGAAGAGAGTTCAGCAGAACGCCGAAGATGCTGCGCTCGAAGAAGGACGTTGACCGCCACGTGCAGGACATCTTCCGCAAACTCGAAGACGAGAACGAGGTGAGCACACCCTTTCTCTCCTCCCTCACCCAACAGTGTGTTAATAGATTTTGTTGTACCTATATTTTATTTTCGGAGCTCTCGCGGTTGTGGGCCGTCCGCCGTCCGCCGTGGCGATGGTTGATGCAATTGCTTGTGCGGGCCCGCCAAAAGCAGCACACGCGATCATGGTGTCTTTCTCCCTTTCTGCTTCCCGATCGTTCTCGAGCAACTGAAGGATATACTTACTTTTCTTGACCTTTGACTCTCCTTTTTCTTTCTCTTTCCGTATTTGGATTTTAATAGAGGGTTTATTTCTATTAGAAGGGCGAGGAGCTTAGATTTTTACCCTTTTTAGGTGCAAAGGAGTTTTCGCCTTGTCTTGAATAAAGCATTGAGTTGATGGTTTTTCGTCTGACACGACAGCCCACTCATGGCTATAACGTTTATTTTCAAATCTTGGTACTGGGGAAGGTTAGGCTTCTGTTTGCCCCTCGTGCCGCGAGAAGACATTGAGTTTTTTTTTTTTCAGCACTAAGTACATGAAAGTTCATGATGTTCAGGCTTCCCGGGGGCTGTAATCCAAACTAAATTGTTTTAATCCAGAAAACGGGGTGGTATTGCAAGCATACTCTCAAAAGTTATTCTGTAAGGCTAGGACGATTGTAACCTCTTATATATTTATTCTGCAGCCACTCGTTACTGTTAATATGTCACGATGTATCGATTAAGGTTTTTTCAAAATATCTGATTTTTAATTGCGGATCATAGTGTAATAAATGATTAGATATCCCTCTGCAAAAAAATGGATTTTGTTTGAACGTCAACTAAATTTGCTCCCTTGTTTATAAGAGTTAAAATTTCCAAGGCAATCTTGGCACTTATAACTCAACCAATTTTCATTAAAAATAACTTTATACAACTAAAGATGTATAAATTGAGGATTTTATAACTTTAGATTAACACAGCTAAGTTATCACCTTAATTAGCTGAACTGTTGTAGTTGGTTCCTGTTCTTAATTTGTGAATATCTGTAAGTTTTCTATGAAATTGATATGAAAACCTATAAGTCATTCTATTTTTTTCATATAAATACGAATTTTCAAAATATGAATATTTTTTGTATAATTCCTTCAAGTCTCAAATACAAAAATATTGAATTTTATTTTACAGAAAACCTTACGCTGTTTTAAAATAGCAGAATTGTATTACAATGTCAATGATTATGAATCTGCAAGGCGATATTTGTCAAGATACATTGAAATTCGCAAAGAACCAAAAGCACACAAACTTATGGGACAAATTCTTGAGGCTTTGGGACAGAAGGAAGCGGCTCTCACACAGTACAAATATTCTTTTGAGCTCAATGCTAAGCAGGAGGATCTTATTTTCAAAAGTATTGTATTTTGAATAAATTTTCTATCAAATAGTTTTTGAAAAAGTATGTATTGGCTGAACATTTCAATTTATTTGTAGTATGTGAACTTCTAGCTGCACCGGATGTAGGAATTGATGTTAACCAAGCCAAGTATTGGGTAGAAAGGGCCGACAGTCTTTTTCCTAGAGAAAAAATAGTTTTTCAATTAAAGGAAAAAGTATTGTCAATTGAAAAACCTACTAATAATGAAGAAGACCTTGAAAATCTAATACTGGGTAAAATATATACAATATTTTAAAGTTACTCATTCCTATAGTATTGTATTTCAATCGTAAATCATGACGAATTGTAACTTAATACCCAATGCATACTTATTTATATTTTGTTATCGAAAGTATATATAATACCTTATATTTTAAACAAAAATACTTAATTTTGCACTTTTTTTTAGCCGAATTAGCTGCTAGACCAACAGACGTCTTGCTGCGTGTAAAGCTTTTAAAGCATTACATCGAAAAAGGAAAGATCAAAGATGCATACAAACATGCCAGTGATATCGAAGGAATAAGTCTTCATAGGGACAGCTTGCCCTGGTATCAGACCCTGTGCGATTTATTTCTTAGACTCAAAAGCACCAAACAGACGAGTTGGAATTTTTGGATACTCTACATCTCGTCGTTGGAACGTTATGCAGCACTGGCTCTAAAAGAGCAAGGTTGCTTTGTCAAAAAAACTTCTGAAGTTGTTCAAGCAGTTTATAAGTAAATATTAGTTATTGCATTTTTTTCTTTTTTTTTTTTTTTTTTCTTTTTTCTCTTCATCCAGTTCTAATTGACTTCTACATTATTTCCACAGTTTTGACCAACACTTGTTTGAATCAAAGGCACAGAGTTTCACAAGTTATCCTTCGCTGACAGAAAAAATTTTCGAGCACATGTGGGGCCAATTGCACTTTCACATAGCATGCCTACTGCTATTGAACACAAAATATGATCAGGGTAGTTGGAACGAGGCTGGAAGACTATGTGCGCCGTTGCTACTCACGGCTTTGCATGTCAAACCCTTAGATCTCACATCCTCCTGGGCAGCACATGTAGATAATCCGATCAAAAATTTGCTACAGTTTTACTATCGGGAAGGATCATACCGGTGTAGTCAAGCTGGTAAGTTGAACTTAAAATTAAGTAGGTACTTTATATTTATGTGGAGGTTTAAATTCATGCATTTTTTTAGGACATATTCTTCAAGATTATTCCAAAGGAAATCTAAAGAAACTTATGAGTGACATAGAAAAGTTTTGCACTGGATCTTGGAGGGAACGAGTGTATCAGGTAAATGCCTTTATCAAAGAACCATTGTGTTGATACATATCTATTACACTATTAAATGTTTTTGCAGAGAATTTTTGTAGGCAGGATTTATCAAAAAATTCGAACATCCTATTTCACGAATAGCAATGTCTTGGCTTTTCCACTTCGGCTTGTTTCACAAAACGAACTACGTAAATTTGATGAAGGTATGTAGGGTTAAATCTTTAATGAGTATAGTTCATATTTTATCAATACAAATGATTCATTGCCATTACAGTGGCCGAGGAAGTCTGGCCGTACTCGTTGCATCATCAGGTCTGGCCAGCCGTTAAGAGCCGAAACAGCAGCACACATACGATCAAGCACGAGGGACCACAACCAAACTTGTCATCGCACTTGTTTTCGGATTTACAATTCAGCGTTTATAATATCACTAACGCCTCGCCTAGTACTATTTGTCAGTTGGACATTGATGCGTTCCTCAATGCAGCTGGTATGTGATTTACTCATAAATTTTTTTTTTTTTTTTTTTTTTTTTAATTTTATAGGTATTAAAGCTTTTTTTGTTTGTTTGAAATAATAGCATTATGCGCTGGAGCAGTTGATGAAGAGCAGCAGAGAAATACTCTCCTACATCCAGATAGACTGCCAACCCTGCCAGCAGATTTGACAAATCCTCTGTGTAGCGAAGAACAAGAAAAATGGTGTGTTAAAATATCATCGAAAATTTTTGTTTTCGATTTTCTTTCCAACAGTATAAATTTTTTACTTTGAAAATACAAATGTAATAGATATTTAACGTATTGTGACATATAATCACATATTTTCATGTTTCAGGTGGTCATCTGCTATGAAAGTCCATCGCAAAGACACCGTAAATAATGTAGGTGAAATCAGACAAACATTACAACGAGGACTGGAAGTTGTACGTTGTATAGGCAATCATGGCATGCATCCTAATATTTTAGTCCATTTGGCTCGTGTGTTTCATTACAGAGTAAGTACATTTATCATTTATTTGTTCATTAAGAATCGTCGCACTAAAGTACTACACAATTCTACAAATCATCAATTTTGTCAATAAAAATTTTCCCTGTAGGTGTTTTCTTGTTTTTAAAATTAAGATTACTTAATCTTCTTTGCAAGTTATAAAGTAAACTGATTTTTTTATTGTGTTGGTATTAAATTTAAATTCGAACTATTTAACTGTCTATGAACAAATTCAAGGGCATCTGGAAAACCACGTGATCGGCAAATCAATATTGCGGTAATAATGGCGCAAACACAATGTGCATGTGAAAAAATGTCGTAAGAGTCGAGTTAATAGTAACTAATAATAACTCTCTAGTAAAAATATTTTTGTGTTGCAATAATCATGAAATTGTAAGTTTATGCGACATAAACAAATAAAAAATAATCCTGATGATATTTCATTAAAATTAAACCATCACTTTTCATCGCGTATACTTTTATTGCAAAAATAATTAGTGCGATGTGTTATTTTTGTAACAAATCCAATTAAACTGAATTTCAACGCCTGAATCGCAACAATGAAATTACGATTAAAGTACAAAGTAATTCTTCAACATCATTGACTAGAGTATAGTTATTTTCTGCACGTCAATAAAAAATTTCAATCATACATTTTCCAGGCAAAGCAATTGAAAGAAAAAAGTAGTGAAAACAGTGAAATTGCTGCCTTGGAAAGCCGTTCAGAACTGTACTGGTCGGCTGTTGTTCCTCTTCTTGAAAGACTGCAAAACAATCAGACGATATGGATGTCGAATGTAAAACTTTTTGACTACACAGGGTTCGTATTGTTTTTCAATATATACTTATTTTTAATTAATTTACATCTAACTGTGGAAATTTGTTATTAGAAAAAGTATGAACAACATGGAATTAACACATGCCATTGAAGAAGGAAAATTGTTGCTAGCTCAAAAACTTATAAAAGACGAGCTGTACGAGCAAGCTATCGAGGCTTTACAAGTATTAAAATGTCCAGAGGCATCCTTCGAACAGGGAAAAGTAATGTTTTTCTATCAAATTTTTATTTTCATTTTTATTTACGTAACTTTATTCATTCGACGAGCATTGTTTTAGATTTATAAGATAATGGCTGACCGTTCATTGGACTCGATGTCGAAAGAAAGCATAACATCAGAAATGAGATCCCAACACATAATTATGTTGACAAAAGCACGTAACTGTTTCTACTTAACTTTGGATCGATTGCGAAGTCCTAAAGCTGACCCTAAGCATCCTCTAAACGCTGAACTCTACATTCACATTAACTCAATTGAAAATGAACTGAAAGCCATCGACCCAGATAAATTGTACAGTGATGGTAAGTGAATTCTTTAATATATTTAAATCTAAAATGTGTTAATTTTTCGTTACTCGATATTACTTATTATAATTTTGATGTTTTCTAATTTATTTATTTATTTTTTTTTTTTTTTTTTGATATTCAATTGGGAGAAAAAAAAAAACTTTTAAGCAATCGAAACATTTTTCGACGATTTTTCAGAGGAGAGCTACTCATCGGCTCACAGCGAGGAGCGTCAAATAGTTAATAATTCCATACAGACGCTTAACAACAACAACACCAACAACACATTACTGCACACACCGACTAAACACCATCACAGAACGCCTAAGCAATCCAGTACTCCTCGCTGCCATCAAATCCAGGACTACTCGGACACGTCGCGAAACTGTGTCGAAGCACGGCCTAGTCCTGAGCGACTGGACGCACAAATCCGACAGCTCGTTCACTCCGTTGAGTCTCTTAAAGAGCAGAACCGCGATCAGCACAGAGCCATGATATCGAAGCTCGACGAATTAATAAAAATCAGTGCGCGGAACTGCACCAAGGAAGCGCCGAAAACGCGTCCTCCTCCGAAGAACGTGACCTCGACTATCGAAGACGAGCTGTATGGCTACGGCGAAGACGACTACAACTTCAACACCACACCCGTGCCAAGTGCCTCAACTCTGGGTAATCGTGTACTCGCGACACCACGCCACTTTTACTCGCCGATGGTCTATCCGCCCGTCAATCACACCGGTCTGCAGAACTTCTTCCAAAGTCCTCTACCTTTTGCTGATCCAGCCGCTAGTATGTACGCGGCCAATGCGGCAGCACTCGCGGCCGCAGCCGCGTCTGCGACTGGCTACCCTATGTCCCCAATGTACCGCACCGGTCACGAGCAACTCCCCATTGCGTCTATGCAGCAGATGACCGAGAACTTGCAGCAGGGCTTATTTTCCCATCGGCCGAACGAGTACGCTCAGTCGCAGCAGTTGCAACAGCTACAGCAGCCATTTGGACTGCATTTGAACGAGCCTGCCAAAAGTGAGCCAAGAATGGGGTAAGTCTACATTTCTGCTTTTATCGTAAGAGTGTGCAATGGTAGTAAAAATATTATTATTTTTCATTTGATCTACAGATATACGGCAATGAACGAGCCAAGCTTGCCAGAAATTTCGACACTGAATCTTAAGGATACTTCGGTCTCAGCACCAGCCTTGACAACTTCATCCGCAATACCAGCGTCCGGACCGCGTGGAGGACTTCCAGTGAACGTTGTTATCACCACCTCGGACACTCTGCCCACGACGACCCCGTCGTCTCAGCCACCCATGAGTGTCACCATTCCTGCTCATCACAGACTTGGGGTGACACCGAGTCAAGACGTGCCGCACAGCTATCAGATATCGATGCCGCCGCAACCCACGATACTCACGACCGTCAACCTGCCACCGCTCTCGACGACGCTCACCATGACCTCGCCGATGACTAAAACAAACGTGACTGACAACCAAAACACGAGCATCGTATCCACAGGTTCTAGACACAGTACCTCGGACGTCACCGAAGTCGAGCACGATCCGATTCCCGACTTTGCTCCAATCATCCCACTTCCGGATGAAGTACCCGTAACGACGGGCGAAGAGAACGAGACGACTCTGTTTTGCGCTCGGGCCAAGCTCTTCCGTTTCGTAGATAAGGAATGGAAGGAACGCGGCATAGGCGACGTCAAACTGCTCAAGAGCGAGGACGGTCGGGTGCGTCTGCTCATGCGTCGCGAGCAGGTTCACAAGATTTGCGCGAATCACATGTTGCACAAGGATATGGAGCTTACGCAGATGCCGAAAAATGAAAAAGCGTACGTATGGGTTGCCAATGACTTTGCCGACGAAGAGGTCAGACTAGAAAAGCTGTGCATAAAATTCAAGACGGCTGAGGAAGCTGCTAGCTTCAAAGAGACCTTCGATAAGGTCATAGTGAACCTACCCGATGCGACCGCGGAAGAAATTAAGGTCAAAACTACGACCGAGGAGACAAAGACTGAAAAACCAAAAGCAACCGCTGCCACGAAGACCGATGCGACAGTCGAGAAGTTCGGTGGTTTTACATTCACTTCGTCGCCCGTGGTACAAAAACCAGTCGAAGAAGTTAAACAAGCACCAGCTAAGCCGAGTCCTTTTGCTTCCTTCTCGTTTGGAAAGACTTCGGAGGTCGCCAAGACATCTAACTTTACGTTCGGCAGTTCGACCACGACCGCCAGCAGTGCGTCTTCATCGAATTTACCGAGCCAAGGGTCCGCGAAAAGTACTTTTGAACCAACCAAACTAGCTGAAACGAGTAAAGTAAATGACAAAGAAGCCGGCGAGATTGTCGTGTTGGAACAGCATGCTGAGCTGATGTACTTCCCCAGTAACACGAAAATTTGGAACGTCAAGGGCAAAGGTGTGGTAAAAGTCTTTTTGGAAAGTTCGAGTAGAAGAGTCCGACTGATTTTTAATACAGACGACAACTCCAAAACGGTTCTCAATGAAGTGATACCAGAGACGATTATTTTCAGTGTGAAAGCCGATCAGGTGATTTGGTCGATGGAAACCAAAGCCATATCGAACTCTTACTTGCTCAAATTCAAAAATCATGAGCAAGCATCGTCATTCCGGGCTACTATGCAAGATCAGAAAGGACAGTCTAAAGTCAAACCAGCGAATGAACAAAAGCCCCTGTCAGCTGCACCAGCTCAAGCCAAGACTGCTCAGTCTGTTAGTAAAAATTTGTTCGAGCAGTTTAAGCCTCCGGTTGATTCGTGGGAATGCAAGGATTGCTACACGCGTAACAATGCGGGTGCAACATCGTGCGTTGCCTGTCAGGCCGCCGCACCAGGGCAAGCAAAGACTCCTCAACCCACTAGTAAGAATTTGTTTGAGCAGTTTAAACCTCCGGTCGGCTCGTGGGAATGTAAGGATTGCTACACGCGTAACAATGCGGGCGCCACATCGTGCGTAGCCTGTCAGGCCACGGCACCAGGTGTTACTCCGAGTCAACCAGCTGCTGTTGCACCCAGCATTAGCGCGTGGAATTGCAAAAAGTGTAAAATCGTCAACGCCATGTCGGCTCAGTACTGTGTGACCTGCGATGAACCCAGAGATCCGTCCATGCCACCTAAACCCAAAACAATCGGTGGTTTCAGTATAAACGCTTTAAAATCCGATACTAAGTCTACTTTCACCTTTGGAATACCACCGGCCAACCAACAGCCAGCAACGGCGGCAACGACCGTTACCAATAAGGACACGCCCTCGAGCTTCAATTTCAGTTTTACCAAGTCTCAAAGCGAAAAAGCAGCGTCCTCGCCTATCCCCATCTTTGGTGCCAATAAGACGGCTACTAGCAATGCTGGTTTCTCGCACGACTCCCAGCCACCTACGACTCCGCCTGCCAGTGCAGGTCACGTGGATAATACAATGAAATTCGGTTCGCCCGGCAAATCGTTTGACTTCCAATTCCAAGCCAAGTCCCCACAGTCTCCTGATCGGCATGAAACTAGCGAAGACGAGCAGGTTGTTGAATCCGAAGATATTTACTTTGCACCTGTTATTCCTTTACCCGATAAAATCGAAGTAAAGACTGGCGAGGAGGACGAGGATGTTCTGTATAGTCACAGAGCCAAGCTTTTCAAGTTCGATACAAATACGAAGGAGTGGAAAGAAAGGGGATTAGGTGAAATAAAAGTACTCCGACATGTCCAGACCAAAAAGCTCAGGCTTATTATGAGAAGGGATCAGGTGTTAAAGCTCTGTTTGAATCATGCTTTGTCATCCGCGATTGAAATCACGTCCAAAGACAACAAAACGTGGATTTGGTCAGCCGGAGATTACAGCGAAGGTGCGGTTGAGTACATTCAATTCGCCTGTCGTTTCAAAACTCCCGAGATAGCCCGTCAGTTCAAAAAAGCCGTCGACGACGCTTGCAAAGCCGTTTCCATTAGTCCACCCAAAACCACCGTGGCCATCGCCCAAAAAGCAGATTTGACCAAAAAAGAATCTTCGCAAGACGTTGAGGTGAGTCAAATAAATTTATTTTGCTTGAAATACATATTATTGTTTATAATCGCTACATAATCACCGTGTCGTTACAAACGTGTTTGCAGATTGTCTACGAGACAACTGTCACGGCGGAAGAAAAAGCAGCAGCTCTCAAACTCCGGTTACCAGAGAACTTCTATGCTTACAAATACAAGGATGACTGTCGTGGTTGTCTAGGCTGCCGCGAACCGGAAGAACCACTCCTAAAGCCCGTTGAGTCGAAACCGACTCCCGGTGCTCCAGTTTTTGGAGCAGAAACTCCCGCTAGTGGTTCGCCGTTTGCCTTCAACGCCAACGCCTTTAGCCAGTCACCGGCTACTAACGCGCAAACAGCAGCCAAGCCGATTTTCGGTGCGCCGATCACAAATATATTCGGAGGCGTTAAAAACGACGATGGGAATGCAGCAAAACAAACGAGCCTCGTATTCGGACAGACACCGAGCAAGCCCGACTCCTCGCAAGACACTGGTTTGGAGAATCTGAAGATCTGCAGCCCGACAACAAAGCAGCAAACATCCACGACGTCAACTGCAGCAACGACTTCAGCCTCGAGCATTTTCGGTGGCTTTGTTACGCAACCTGCAGCAACGGCGACCTCCGGATCCACAAACATCTTTGGTAACTTTAGCTCCCCATCGATTAACATGTTTGGTGGTACCCCTACGAAGACGACATCAGCAACACCAGCGTTCACCTTTTCGGCGCCCAATGCTACGGCTGCCTCGAACACAACGACCAACAACATTTTCAGCACAAACAAATCATCTCCGTTTTCTGCCGGTACCAATACGTTTGGCACTACAAACATGTTTGGCGGCAGTCCCGCATCAACGACCAACAGCGTTTCATTGTTTGGTGGTAGTCCTGCATCAACTACCAGCAGCAGTTCGTTGTTCGGTGGCAGCGTGACGACAACGACGACGTCGAAGCCGATGTTCGGAACTATTGGGCCAATGTTCGGCTCTACTGCACCAGCCATAACGACAGCAACCAGCTCGGTATTTGGTACTAGTTCGGGAATTGCCTCTACCGCTCCAACTTTCGGTGCATCAGCTGGAAACTCGATTTTCGGCGGCATCACCGCCAGTACGACATCGGCGACGCCGGTATTTGGCACTGCCACGTCTACTACATCGTTGACATCAGTATTCGGCGTCGCGACAACAACCACGTCGGCCACTCCGGTATTTGGTGCTACTGCCATAACAAAATCGGCCACCCCAGTATTCGGTGCTACTTCTACAACCACGTCTTCATCGTCCTTTGGAACAAACACCGCGACGACGACAGGAACGCTATTCAGTGGAAGCAGCCCGCTCTTCGGCGGGCAGACGAGCATCAAGCCGTTGTTCACAGCTCCTCAAGCTGATGCCAAGCCAGCGACGGGTATCAGTGGAACGTCGATGAGTTTATCGTCAATGCCGATATTTGGAGCTCAGAAAGGATCGGTCGAAGGAAGCTTCACGAACGCCAGCAACGCGCCAGCTGATGACAAGAGCAAGACGAAGGATGCTGGCGGCGTAAGCTTCCTTCCGACCGAAAATTCGCTCACCTTTTCGGCTCTCGCTGCTCAAACGACGCCGGACCAGAAGCCTGCCTTCCAAACAGGTAAGGGTTTAACTGATTGACGCCTTTTTGGTGTAGGTATGCATAAGATGTGATTCCGAATTACCTTTAAGAGCACGATTTACTTGTAGATCCGAGCTTCCAATTCGCTGGAGCTGGTGCATCAGTTTTCGGAGCCAAGTCCAAGCAGACCGATGCAAAAAAATCCGCGGCTAAATCTAAGAAAGACAAGGATAAAAAGAACGATGACGATGAGGATGATGAAGATGACGGAGATGAGAATGGGGATGAGCATGATCCTTACTTCGAGCCCATAGTTCCTTTACCGGATGCTATTGAAGTTCGTACGGGCGAGGAAGACGAAGAAAAACGTAAGTTAACCGACCGACAAAAATCGCCATTTAAATTCAACGGTTTTCATTTCTCAAGTTTACTCATCGGGATTCGTTTATTTTTCCAGTGTTCTGTCAACGCGCCAAGCTCTACAGATATGACCAAAACACCAAGGAATGGAAAGAACGTGGCACAGGTGAAATGAAGCTTCTCCATAACGTGCAGCACGGCACTTACCGTCTCCTGTTACGACGCGAGCAGGTCTTCAAGGTTGTGTGCAACGTAAGGCTGACCGCAGATCTCGAGTTTCATAAAATGTCCACGTCAAATAGCGCGTGGGTTTGGGCTGCCATGAACTACGCCGAGCCTGATAACGCAGAGGTCGAGAAGCTCGCGGTCAGGTTCAAATCGACCGAGCTTGCTGAGGAGTTCTACGAGGCGGTCAGCACTGCTCAGCGTTCACTCACAGAACTACAGAACGAAGGTAGTTAATTATTGAGAGATTAGGGATAGGGAAATTTTGCTATTGATTGGGTGGTTTTAATTTAGCTGTCTTTGGTATTGGAAACAGTTTGATAAACAACGAAAAGGTTGTAAGTTACTATAAAAATGGACTTCTTGCTGAGCAGGTTTTTGGCAAAAAATTTTAGGTGCCCATTTCTTTTTGGGGTACCTCTTTTTATTTTACTTTTTCTTTGTTACACACTTTTTTGTTGTTTTATCGTGCTATTTATGATGGGCGTTACTTGTAATTTTAAACTTTGTGGAATTTTCTTGTTATAGTTCATCCCTACACCTAGAATGTGAAATGATTTTTTTTCTAAAATATATTTTCATGCTGTAGTTCTGTAATTATTAAAAAAATTTTTTCCATTTGAACACAATAACCTTTTGTAAATTTTACATTAAAAAATAACGTTCAAACGGTATAATTTTTAATTCGGTTTATAATTTTTTTATTTATATTATGAATATAAAATTTACTTAAAAATGTAGTTGAAAAAATTGTTGTCAAATTAAACTGAATAAAATGGCAAATTTGTTTAAGCAATTACCCATACTGCAATAACATTTGATTCAAAATTTTTTTCAGCAGTATACTCGTTTCCTTACTTTTTGGAAATTGAGATTTTTAATGTATTCTATCAGAATGTTGCAGCAAAATATTTTTCAAAGAGAAACATTGCACCTTTGTTATTTATACACGCTATATTTTGTTATCTCATTTTCCCATATATTACTTGAATACAGTACACTACACATGAGCAAAGCTTAAAAGATATTTTTTACTAATTTAATGCTAAATATAAAATGTATTTTGTTGTTGACACTTTTATAATGTATTATTACATGTAACACAATTACTTTTGACATATGTATTGAACCAAAAAAAAAAGTATGAAAAATATTATTTTACAAACTATTGAAAGAGTTCGATTTGATTTAATTGATTAACTATGATTGGAACAATTTTTTTTTTTTTTAGGTTTTTTGCATTATCGTAAAAAATAATGTGCATAATGTGTTCCTTCAATGACTGATCATCATTTATTTTTCCTCAGTTGTAAAAAAAATTACCTATCTTTATTTTTGAATAAAATTAATTTTACTAATTATTTTGTTTCATTAATCTAACGATTTTCATGTACGTTTAATCTACATTTAAACTGTAGTAAATATGACACGAAAAAGAATCATGTAATAATTATTTAACTCTCCCGTTAAAACATTTATTTATATATAATAAGGTGAGTAAGAACTATTTTCAAAGCTAAAATTACACTCGTCAAGGTCAAAATGAATGTTTACGGCGTTTTTTAAATCACACTTCGTTTTTGAAATTGTTGCAGCAACTGCAAACGCATCAGCAGTAAGTCAGGAGTACGAGGACGAGGTGTACGATGAAGACGAGTACTACGGTCGTGGTGATTACGATGAGGACGAGGAGGGCGGGGAAGACGAGGACGACGAAGACGCCCACGTGGAAATGTTTGAGAAGCGAGCGACCATTTACGTAAAGAACGAGGGCGAAAACGACTGGGATGAACGCGTGATGGGCAATCTTAGGGTCATCTACGATTCGGATCTCTTTGGCGTGAGGATACTCTTCATGGACGACAACACCGAACTTCGCAGCGATACCGTTATCTGCATGAATACTCAAATGGAGGTAAGAATAGTGTTTTCTGAATAGTGATCTCTTCTACTTTATTACCTGCTCGAAAAGTAAATTGTTATTTGAACAAATAACTGGTATTAAGTTTAAAAAAAAGGATTTTTTTTTTAATCCAACCAGATATATTACATAGGTTTTACATAAATTAATTTGAAATATTTTTTTGCAGTGTGCTGATAAGGAATGTTTATGGTCAGCCACTGATTATGCCACTTCGCCACCTGTAAGACGTACTTTAAAAGCTGTGTTTTCGTCGACACAAACGTCTCATGAGATGTATAAAACATACTTAGAAGTGAGTATTTTCGTAATGTACTGAAATTCATTGTAGACTCGTTAATAATGATAGCAAAATTAAATTATTTTTATTTTTTGCCTTACAGGGAAAAGATTGTGCCACAAAAGCAGACATACGAGAGTGAAACGTTTGTGTGCGTTATTCAAAATTAAGAACATTTCTAAAGTGTAATTCTTAAATTTTTTGGAAAAAAAAATTTTTTGAAACAACTAGTGTATAAAGAAGATTAATAACTTATGCATTTTTACATCGAAACTACATTACATCAAACAATAAGATTTTTTAAGAAGAGAAGATAGAAATAAATCATCGATGGTTTTGGACTTGTTTGTTCCATCTGCACCTGTTCTGTAGTTATTATTTTTCTTTACTTGTGTAACTGCAGCCCTTGTAAATGAAAGTAAGGAAGAGCAATAGTGCGAGAAACATTTTTAAAAGAGTGATTTTATTTTTCTTTTTTAAGTGGACTCGTATCTTTAATAAACTGTGAATCCTACGACAAATAATTACGTGCAAACATTCGTACAATCAGTGTAGTTTAAACAATGAGAACAGCCATTCTGTTTAGCGTCCATTGGCTCGTGATAATAATGATGATTCTTTATTTTTTGTATTTTAAAAAAAAAAAATTTTATTTATCTTAGTATTAAAGAAATGACTCCAACAAAGTACTTTAATTTGTAAAACATTTTTAGCGTTGAAATCAACTTATACTTTGATTGAATGATTAAATAAAAGAAAAAATGATTCCTAAGTTATACAAACATAAATCTTGTACTTGTTATTACACAAAGAAAACCTCCTTCTCTAGACTAAACAATTAAAACTAACTTATTGTTATATAAGATTTTTACTCATCCTCTTAAATTTTTTTTAATTTTCAATGTATTATCTAAATTGAGCTTTCAACGATCATGTCACGTTTTTTTTTTCGGGGGAGATCGGTACGTTACGTACAATCACACGATGACGCAGCGATTTTAAGCTCGCCCCTCTGATCTCCGATTCTTGTATCTCTTCGTTTAGACTCGATATACAAGTTGTGTAAGTAAGTATATACATGGAGCTGACGCCGCTCAACCCGCTTAACTTGTTGCATTGCCTTGCTCTGTTGGAATATCAGTCAGACACCTTCGCTGGAGACAGAGTAATACACTTGCTGAGTGTGTCAATACATTAATCCGTTGTTTCTTTTTTTTTTAACACCTTAATTTCAATTATACAGTTAAAAATGACGACTATCTCAAAAGGTACGTAAAAAAAAATAATTAGTTTAAGAATCAGAGATAGTTAAACATGTTAATACTGATACTTTTTTTTAGTCGTTCGTAAACAGTTTTAATCTAATTTTCTTTTACTATTTCAAATTGATCCACACGATTTTGTGGCAACAGTTTGCTATTTTGCACAAGATTTTTCTTATTTTAATATTTAATATTACAACACAGTGATTAAATGAATGTATTAAAAGAAGTACATTTTTTGTTCTTGAACTACAAGTGTCGAATCCAACAATTGGACTATATGGATAAATTTTATTTTTTTAAAAAGAACACTGACACGTGTACAATTTTGAAATGACGATGTAGAGTTGTAGAGATTACTTTAAAATGATGACGAATTATAATAATAAAAAAATCAATGTGCAACAAGTGCATGAAATATTAGGTACATACATATTAAAGCCGTTCAATGCATAGGTATATTTGTGCTTATATCTAATGTATAGTTTTTATCTTTTTTTTTTTCGTTTCCCTCAAGGAATATTTATTGTCGCTGCAAAACGCACACCTTTAGGCAAAATGGGTGGCTTCTTCACTAACAAGAACATCACGGAGTTATCAGTGGTCGCATCCAATGCAGCGATCCAATCTGCTAATCTGAAACCCGAACAGATTGACCATGTTGTTTTCGGCAACGTCTTACCCGTAAGTATATGTGCATTACAACATATGTAACATATATTACATTACATTACATAAAATAAGATGATAATTTTAGTTTGTACTTATAATGTATTTGGACGTCCAGTTACTGTATTTCGTGTACGTATATTTTAGTTGTCGTCCTCTGATGGTGCATTTATGCCAAGGCATGTGCTTCTCAAGTGTGGAATTCCTCTGGAAAAGCCAGCTCTAGGTGTCAATAGACTGTGTGGCTCTGGCTTTCAGGCCATCGTCAGTGGTGCTCAGGTGAATTTTATTTACATTGTTACTCTCCATATACACCATAAAAGTACATTGTGTTTTTACAAAGCAAATGACCTAGAGATATACATTTGCATGGTGTTTTGTACAAAACTCTCTTTTTGTGTTGATTTTTTTTCACTGTTTGCACACATAGAACATCAGAGTATATTGCAAAGTTATAGTAAAAATGCCATAAATTGAAACCTTTTTGGTTGCCAATTAAAACAAATGACAATAAGAAAGTTACATGCAAACCAAAAATTGAAACCACTTGAGTTACTCTGTATACGAAATTTGATTGTACGTCCACAAAATAGTCGAATTTCGTGGGTAATAGTTGTTGAAGAGAAAAATGTACCCTTCTCATCTGAAAAAAAAAAAACAGAGTATCCTGACCGGGGAATCGAAAATCGTGCTGACGGGGGGAGCTGAGAATATGAGCCAGATGCCGTTCGTCGTGAGGGACGTGCGTTTTGGCACGGCCCTTGGCAAAAAGTACGACTTTGAGGACTCACTGTGGCTCGGCTTGCTGGACACCCACTGTGGCCTACCCATGGGCTTGACGGCTGAAAAACTCGGGGCCCAGTTCAGCATCACCAGAGAGGAGGTCGACAAATTCGCTCTCAGGAGCCATCTCTCGTGGAAGAATGGTTGGTACATATTATAATATAATATATATTATACTTTGATTCTCTCGACTTGCTGACTTTAACATATATGTATTCATTTTAGCCAACGACAAGGGCTACTTCAAAGCTGAGATGGCACCTGTCCCTGTGAAAGTCAAAAAACAAGAGGTGTCGGTCGAAGTGGACGAGCACCCGAGACCACAGGCAAAGATTGAAGATTTCGCCAAACTGGCACCTGTATTTAAAAAAGATGGACTGGTCACCGCTGGCTCAGCATCCGTGAGTCCATTATTATGATATGGTACATTTTGCTAACTGGTCCTCTTTTCATCGTGCTCATCTTTTTTCCACCAATTATGTGAACAGGGTGTCTGCGACGGTGCGGGGGCTGTGATTTTGGCCAGCGAGGAAGCCGTCAAGGCAAACGGTCTCAAGCCACTGGCACGTCTGGTGGGCTACTCTACGGTTGGCGTTGACCCGAGTATCATGGGTATCGGTCCGTCACCGGCAATCAAAAATCTACTCAAGGCAGCTGGGAAAACTCTGAACGACATGGAGCTCGTTGAGGTGAATAAATGTTTCTCGTAACTTGAAAAGAAAAATAATTTTAAAAAATACGGTATGAAAGTGCAGGGTTGTTTTTTGTTTGTTTTTGTAAGTAGATCAACGAAGCGTTTGGAGCGCAAACTCTTGCCTGTGCCAAGGACTTGAACCTTGACGTTAACAAGCTCAATGTTAACGGAGGTGCTATGGCTCTTGGGCATCCACTTGGAGCGTCCGGATCGCGTATCACTGCTCATTTGGTTCACGAACTGAGGTCTGTACTTTGTATGCTCATTTGTTGCAAGAGAAAAAAATCTTTTAATCAATTAATGGGGACATATTATATTAGCGGCGTTACCACCACGACCTACGTAACTTTACAGCCTCTGAGTTTATCATTCTGGTAAAGAGAGCACGGGGTAAGATGTACGTGAAGTTATGTGTAGTAATTAAAGTAATTACTAACCGCAACCAGCACAAAACACAATCTTTTTTTACCCAAAAGTCGACCTCTAAAAATATAGATATTCATATGGTTTAATAAAACCGACCATATGGCATTACTTAGTAGCAATTACTTTAATTACTACACATAACTTCACGTACATCTTACACCGTGCTCTCTTTACCAGAATGATAAAATCAGAGGCTGCAGTAAAGTTACGTAGGTCGTGGTGGTAACGCCGCTTTATATATGTCATGTTTTGTGAAAGATAGATAATAGGTGTTGTTTGTTTTGCAGGAGAAGGAACGCCGGAAAATTTGGAATTGGTTCAGCTTGCATCGGAGGAGGTCAGGGAATCGCGGTACTGGTCGAGGCTCTTTGAGCCAACAAAGCCACAAGCATTTGAATATTTTAAATTATATTTACCAATGTTAAACAATGCAATTATTTTTATTGTGATGAGATTGTTGAAGAAATTTTTTTGTACATCTGTTTAAACTTATTATGTCCTGTTGTTATAATTATACTTAATATATATTTTTATACGCGTTTTGAGCAATAATCGATTTTTTATATAACAATTTATATGTATTAAAAAATAAAGAATTATTTAAAGTAAATACATTCGATTTTATACATACAACGATTAATGTGCACTGAGGATTCCGCAGTTTGCGGAACAAGTGGCACACCTGGGATACGGTTGTTTTTCTTCCTCTCATGCTCTCATACCCAGGGGTATGTTCCAGTAACGCTCTCCGACAATTTACCGACAACTTAATTATGTCTTACGATATCTTGCGTCATGTTTAAGTTGTCGGTAAGTTGTCGGAGAGCGCTACTGGAACACACGGCAGGAACATGAGGAAATTTGTGAATATTCCAAAAGTTGAGGAACACGAACTTTTTCAGTTTTTACCGACAATTTATGCAAAGGTAAGAGTGTATAATACGGGGTACATGCATATAATATGGAATTAATGTTTCATGTATGTAACAGAGTTCTTTTAACAATTGTTTTATTTTATTTATGTATAAATATAAGCATATTATATATATATGTATAAGCAAAGCATACATTTGGAAATTTTCATCATTTTGGCTTTTGTTAATTATAATAATCCTTTGTAAAATAAAACAATCGTTAAAAGAACTCTGTTACATACATGAAATATTAATTCCACATCACATTATATTATATGTACGTATCCTGTATTATACACTCGTACGTGTGTATTCAAGGCCATATTTTTTCTCAAAGTCGAGATTACCATTTTTATGACTGAGTACTCGAACGAAAGCTCATTCCAAGGACTTTAAGAGCATTTTCATAGAGTTGTGACAACTAATCTGGGAAAAAAAATTATCAACAATAGTGTGCACTCTCCTTTGCATATATTAATCAATTTTTTTTCTTACCTTTGTATAAATTGTTAGTGTCCCTCAACTTTGGAGTATTCATGAATTTTCTCATGTTTCTGGGCATGTGAGGAAGAAAAACAACCGTATCCCATATGTGTGCCTTTAATGTCACTTTTTCCGCAAACTGCGGACTCCTCAGTGCACATTAAATTTGGAATTACTTTTATAACTGTGGATACACTTCTGATGCAATTTTTATCAAGTTCGATTATATTACTTTTCTATTTGTTATTGCACTACAGTTGTAGTCTCTCTACTCAATTGTTTTTTTTTTTTTTTTTTTTTTTATTGGGGTTTTAGGAGGAAAAAATAAATAGTATTAATAGTAGTCAAAAAAGATTGAAACATGAAAATTTTATTCGAATTTCTCGTATCTCCGCATTATGTCCATCATTCGAACAATTTTTTAAAAAAACTATCAATAAACCAATAAAATAGCCATAACTACGCGTGGGATTTTGGCGTCTCCACTCGAAAAGTATGAAGGCCTTTAATCTACAAAGAATTATACTAGCATAGGTCCATTTACATAAAATAAAAAAAAATAGAGAGAAAATAGTGATTAAGTATACAAATGTCACAATTGAAAATGTACATACTTTGTTTTCTTCTTACAAATACATAAAAAAAATTGAATATTATGAAACAAAATATGAATTTCCAAATTTATAGCTCTCACGCTTGATTTAAAATAAAATCATTACAAATTCTCTTTATAATTGTTATTAAGGAAAAATATGGCAGCAAAATATTCCTTACATAACAATAACTTTCCTTCAATCACAAGTGTTGCTCTGATGTTATTATTTGATAGTACACACCATATAATATAAATCTATAAAATACTTATTATCCTAACATGCACATGTAACATTAAAAACACGCGTTTCATTTTACCTCATTTCATTTTACAATACAGACTTCGGTTGCCGATTTAATGTCCAATGCATACTATCAAGGTATAATATACCATACAAACATTGGTAAAAAAAAATTAATGCAAACATCCGCACGATCATAACAATTGTTTTTTGATATTCAAATAATACGCAGTAGTAAAATATTACAGTCAAACATAAAATAAAACTGTTTTTAGTAACATCGTTATTATATTTAGCTTGAAATAAAAAACATGATGGTTAAAAATAACAGTCGTTTTTCTTGCCCCTGAATGCAAAAAAATTGTTACACACTTCGGTTATCAACATACATACACTTAAATTATAAAATCCGTGTTTCGATGTAAAATTTATAGCTTGTTTTTTTTTTTCATAAATACAAAATAGAGCTAAAATACATTTGCAATAATTCTAAAAAAAAAAAAAAAAAAAAAAAAAAAAACTAGAAATCGGACCTTTTCACTAAATCATTTTGATGAAAATGAATATCCTTCGATTCGAGTTGTCGAGAAAATGGTAAATTATACTGTAAATGCATCGAGGACCATTAAAGTCCATATTATATAATATGAAGAAAAAAAAAAAAAAAATGATAATATTAGCCTTTGAAACGGTACCAACACGATGGTGGTTGATTGTTGTAACAATGTATTTACTTGGACGGCGTGTCCGTCAACATTGTGCAGCCCATTTCCACCCCCCCGCTGAACAGGATCAAGGACTCCGACTTGAAATGAGGGACGATGTCATCGATACTGTCGAACGCCTGCTCCTCGCTCTTTGGCGTGCCCAACGCGTACCTACGAAACAATCGGTGGTGATTATTTTTCATAATGTTTTTTGAGGGTGAAAAAAAGAAGAAAAAAAAAAAAAAAAAAAAATCATCGAGCACACGAGACTCACTTGTTGTCGGGGCGCCTGCGAACGGGAATGTTGTAGACCTTGTCCTTGAACCACAGGACGAGGGTCATCGGATTGTCGGGGTTGGTGGTGGATGGCCTGAGGAGGAAGCAGCCGTCGGTTTTGTGCTGCTCCATGAGGATGATCGCCTGTTCCCGGGTGAGATTGTGAAACCAGGGTCTGTCCGTGCAAGGGTTGGGGGGCAGTGGCAGGGACCCTCTCGTCGCGCCTGGAGATGATGCGCCTTGCTTGGGTGTTGAACGCTGGTTTGACGAACGCTCTGGGAAAACAACGAGAAACGCGATACTTATAATTATTTGGGTGTTTTTTTTTGTTTTTGGTTTTTTATCCATCCCTCAATTTAGTTGGGGAAAAATGTTTTTCTGTAATTTTACAGGGGGGCCTTTGTATAGTTGGGTTTATTTAATACTTGCTCTTCCTGGCTTTCCAGAAAATCCCTTCTTTTCCTACAATTTGCTGGTTGAGAGAGCTTTTTTCTTTTTTAACGTCTTATTATAAGTACGTAATTCGTCACTCGGTACGATGGAGGTGAAAATTCGAAAAAGATGTTAAAAAATGACAATTTCTCACCTACCACCAGCCAATTTAATGTTCATTGTGACTTTGGAAATTTTACTGGGCCAATAAAAATGGAGATTTTATCTTTTTCATTCGAACCTTTTACTCATGCTTAACCGATTACCCCTTTTTGTTCGACCGAACTGGCACCTTTTTCCAGCAGGACTGCACCATTGGGACGAAATTGGTACGAAACCAAAGAAAATTTTTCCCAATTAAGTGGAGTATAAAAAACTTTGCTGAACAATTCGGAACAATAATTTATTTACTATATTCACCAACTTTTCATATTTTGCTGTTTTTTGTTAATGGGTGACTCGGTCAACAACCTCGGAGCCCTATACGTGTCTTACTGGCCACAGCGAGCAAACTCGTCGTACTTTAAACCAATGAGTATGAGCTGCAGAAAATTCGGTACCAACTGGACATTCGGACTGGCGTCATACTTTAGTAGTAATACCGAAAGCTGCAGTGAAAATCTTTTTTTTTTTTTTTTCCTGTTATCTTCTTTGATTTTTTACAAGCCGTAGTAATTAACGATGAGCTACTATTGTGTATACATCAGTATACAGTGATTCATCATTGTATGACTCAACTCACCACTAAAAATACAACTTGCTGTCACCTTATGAAAATCGATATTTACACATATTTAATTTATCAGTTCACCAACCTATGGGGCCTAGCCTCACTCATGCCGTGTGGAACGGCTAGGATAATTGCTTTTTGTTTATGCATTTTTTTCATTTCTACTTATGAAATCATGCATTTGTATAACTCGTCTAACTATTTTAGAGTGGAAAAATAAAGTACTACATTTTTACAAAGTAAAATTTGTCGGAACTAATAAATTAATACTTTTCAAACATTTTTACATCTTTTTTCTACGAAATTTTTTTGTTTTCTCTCACAAAATAAAATAGATTACTTTTGATGGAAAAAAAGCTGTTGTTGGACGTGATACAAGGTTTTTTTAGCACAAGTGATAACGATGCATTTTATTTTTAGATCAAAAAATGGTAACGCAAATTATTAAAAAATGTTTATATGTTCAAGTTTGACGCACTTTGCGAGTTTTTATGGATAACTATTTATAAATGGGGATTATAAAATTTAGTAATATACTAAACAAAAAACAAGAGATATCCAGAATACTGTAGGCAACGGAAAATAATATTTCATTTCAAATTGTATAAAATAAAAAAAAATTTTTTAAATTTAACGGAGAAATATCAAATTGTACGTACAAAATGCATGTGCATCATAATTTTTATCGACATAAATATTGCTATTGGTACCAGTATGTTTGCAAGAAAAGTATATATATGTTAACTTTGTAATCGTTAATCTGTACCTGTTATTTTTTTACGTTTTAAACATCAAAATATTTCAAAAAAATCTGTTCACAGCTGCTCATTAATTTACCCTACGATTCAAAATCTTAGAAAAAAGGGCCACACATTTTTTAACGAATAAACAAATAAGCAATTGCTCCTCGAAAAATTAATTTATGATAAAAATAGCGTTTTCATGTTGAATCGAATAGAATTATTTTTAGAAAATAAACTGTACAAACTGGAAAGGTTGAGCCGAGCCAGAGTTAAAGTCTCCTGAGTGAGAGTTTCGGAGAGCCTTGGTCTCAGTAAAAGCATTTTCTTCGACTCGCCGTAAAGGCTCGTCATCGTCGCTCGCAATCTACTAATTTTGCCGATTTCCCGACCACCGATTTTCTCGCTTCCTCTCAGCTACAAACACGTGTGTGACTTATTTTTTTCCCTTTACACCATATTTGAACGTTTACTTGAGTTTTTTTCTTTACCTTTGTTATGTAAAAGCGATAAAAAAAACTTATACATTAATTAAATTTTAAGATTTCTAAATCACAAGCTATGCGATCGAGTCGACGTTTTGAGGAGGACTGTAGTAGAGGGTCCGGATACATCTTTGAGGTGCTGAAATTCTTGCTCTCAAAAAAGGCGAGAGAGCCATTAATAAATGCGCGTAGAGCCAAGGTGGTAATACTTTGCATCGCGTTGGTCGGCTCGTGGCATGAGGTCGGTAAATATATATGTGCACTTGCAAAGGCTCCGGAAATATTTAATGCATATCTCTGCTTAAAAAAAAAAACAGACTTTCTTATGTGTATTTTGTTACCAAGTTCAATATAAGCAGTGGAAAAATTTTGGTCTTTTTTGTTTGTTTATTAATAAACTTTAATTTAAAAAATACACCTAAAAAATAAAAATAGCGAATGATTTGTTGTTGTTGGAATATTTATAATGTTCTTCTTAAATCCACAAGTAGCAAATTTTAAAAGAGCTACTTTACTACCTTTAGAGCACGAAATTGTTTATCGTTAAAAAATAAAAAGAAAAATTGGATCTTTCGCATTTTATTGACAATATTTTTACCTTAAATGTCTTGTAAAAAAATTAACAGTAGAGTTACATGTAAAATATTAAAATTTTACCCCAAACAGATATAATGTATACCTATACTTTTAATTGAAATTAATTAGCTTCTTTAAAAAAACATAAAATACGCTCCTACGAAGTAATCGTGGGTATAATGATGTGTGCAAAATAATTATTTTTAGTAAATACACAGAGTAATTATTGATGTCACAATATATTTCGTCTTAGTCAAATAGAATAATTTAGTTTGTTAAAAGACCATCTTTTTTATTGGCTTATTACGTAATTGCCAAACAATTGCGGTGCCAAATGAAACAATCCTAAAAACAAATTTCCAGTGCACAAAGGAAAAATGTCCAAACTCTGAAAGGAAAAAAAAAACATTTTACGAACGACCAAAGACTTGGTGATGAAAATTTTACGTACATGCAACAATTTTCGTTGATTTTTCTCTTATTAATGCAATTTCTAAAGTAAAACTCACACTTTATAAAAAATTATTTTAACCACTGGAAAAACACTAATTCAAACAAAAATCGTAATTTGCAATGAATAAAAAAAAATAACATGAAACAATTAATTACCTAAAATTGATTGTCTTCAGCTGAACAAACGCACGTGTTGTAAGCGTTCACAGTGATTACCGAACGTTAAAAGAGGCGGCGAGATCTTAAGTATATCGAATGTAAAGGTAAAATTAAAATATACCATTAAATTCTTCAAAAAAACCTACTCTTACTTCTTACATGATATATTTTAAGAAATAGACAAGAAATATAGTTTTTTTTTAAATAATCAGTAGTGTCAAATCGCATGATTTAACTACATTTTTTGAATCATATGGATGTTTGTCAAAGTTTTTTGCCTTTTTTGTCTTTTGATCATATAAATTTAAAACTACCAGGGACCATTTCTTTGCCGCAACAGAAATAGGAGTTTGCACCATTTTTATAATCCACCGGTAAATGTAAAGCCTAAAAAAAATCGAAACAATCCTGTACTGCAAAAAACACACTCGTTGTTGGTAATCATATTTTCTGCGCAAACAAAAGGGGCGTTTACGGCGAAAAAAAAAAAAAAAAAAAAAATCCACTCCTCCCTGTATCCTTGTTATTAGGTATTTTTGCACACCACGTATGTAAGCCACGAGAAAAAAAGACCGTCACGATCGCACTATACCCACGAATCAAAGACACAAATCGTCTCTCCTCCCCCTCTATACTTTTTCCATGCTTGATAAGAGAAGGAAATAAAAAAAATTTGTGCATAAAAAGAGCCGCCGGAGTCAAGCGTGAAGCCAAACCCGATCCACCCGCCCATCTGTTCGGAGTGTAATACTCTTTTTGCGATGGTGGATAATTGCAAAATGATTCATCTGGTGAGGATCGTCCTGAGCGTGCTGGTGACGGTTTACTGCGTGGAGGCGCAGTTCGAGCCTCCCAGTGCTACCGTCGAGCCGCTCAGTCCCGTTGGGATTAGGATATCAGTACCACGTAAGTTTTGCGATTTATTGTGACGCCTTGCATTATATTTTTTTCATACGTTGACTTTTTTTTTTTTTTTTTTTTTTTTTCGTAAAGAAGGTTCCGTTTACGTAGTCGATAACTTAGTGTGCTTTTTGTTCTGGCCAAAGTAAAACTTTTTAATGCATTATTTTTGGTTTTTCCCTTTTTATCATCAAATCATTTATTGCAATGTTGAACGTAATACTTTGGTCTTTATCACGTATGCTACAGCACACACGTTTTATGCGGAAGTAAATGTGCGATGACTCGGTATCGTTTAGTGATAAAGTTTATTTCAACGACATGGAGTATAATCATTTTTATTTTCGTTTTTCATCTCAAATCGAAACCATTTCCAACCTTTTATTCGAAGTAAAACCGCGAGTAACAAGCTGTTGTGAAAACCAATAATCATGACAGCAATGACGGTCATAACAATAATAATGTTTAATGATTTAAAAATTGATCAAATATCATGTTAGTATAATTTAATACTTTCAAATAATATAAATATTTAATTACAATAAATCGCTGCTATACGTATGAAAAAAAGACGATTCAGTACACCGATGTGAAAAATATACTTATAACTTGTTGCATTACTAGAAGTATAATTGAATGATGGATATTTAAAAAAAAAACTCGTTCAATTTATTTTTCTCAGAAAATCTAATAAAAAAAAAGGCAATTTCCTAAACCATGTTTTTTTGTAAGGGGCGTCGAAAAAAAAAATGAATAATAATAATAACAACAATGATATCAATGCCATGGCATATTATTTTTCCTCCGTACGGTTCACCAGACGTGGAGGGCATGAGCCTAGTGGCATACCATGTGAAGTTCAATGACGAGTTTTATAGCTTGGAAGCCGGTACCATAGCAGTCGACGTAATCAAGAGACGTAACGGCCGTTGGGTGTACCAGGATAAGTCGACGAAGTTGAAAAAAGGCGACGTTGTCCATTACTGGGTCCACGTGGTTTATAACAAATTGGGTTACAACTTGCTCGACCAAAAGCACGTGGTTACTGGTACGCAATTTTTTTTTTTTCGCATACAAAATCGCAGATTTGGGCACAATTATTTTATAAATTTTTTAATACAATGTTTCACAAAAATCCATTTATTAAGAGCTTAGCTCGTTAGACTTTAATTTGAATTTTGCATTAGTCTTATCTTTTGTTTGCATTGACTCTTCTGGTTATTATTTACTTTATTTAGTTCGTATAATAACTTAAAGCACTTTATTTCTCGTGGTATGCACTCGATTTGCGATTACTTTTCAGTCTTAAAATTAGGTCTTTCTGTCACTATGTAACCAATAATATTATCTGATTTAAATTGCCATTCAAACTTCTGATTTAATACTTTAGTTTACAACTTGACAAATTAATATGAAGACTTGTATAATCCTGACAAAACAACCTTATTAGACACAGAGTTAAATTTATTATTCTTATTTTTACAAAATTTATATTGAGACTGTATTCAATAAACTTTCGCAAAGTAAACTTTTTGAAACTCATCATCAAACATTATAGAAATTGTTTTAAGCTGCTTATCATTTCCTGTAAATTTGCTCTTTTTCTACTTTCTCCAAACCTAAAATCGTTTAATCAATGTCGTTTGCTTCATTTTTATTAAAGATTGTAGTCTCATCCAACGATTAAAAAGTCAGTCTAGAGTTAGTCATGTGCTTTTCACCCTTTGAGTTAGCTGTAAATATTGATAAGTTAATATTTCCCTAATAAGGAGGTCTTTCTTACTTATCATTTGTGCAAAGAATTATTAAGTTACCTTTACTGTCTGGCTTAGTAATCTGCTTAACTTCAGTCAATTTTCTTCGATTAAAGTTGTAAAGATTTTCACCACGACCCTGACCCCGCAATGACCTTTACCTTAGCCTCGAGCCTTTTCTCTACCTCTGTCACTATGTAGCTTTAGTATTTTTTTTCTAATTATTCCCAGAAATTTGATGGCGTTTTCTTAGTATTTTCTTGATACTTTTTCTGCTTAAAATCATAATTAAATTTATTTGTATCATGCTCTTTTATAACAACTTCTCCTAGCTAAGCATTTAAGTGTGGACAGTTAGGAGTTATGTGGCCCTTGAACATTTTGCATCAATAGCAAATCAGCATATTTTTGCTACAGTCATTTATTTGTCACCGTTGTTAACACACTTACAGTGCAACATTTTAGATCTATTAACGACTTGACCCCCAAAAGCTGTGACTGCTGGGGCATGACTCAGGGACTTTAAGTTTTCGCTTCCAGCTGCCCTTATTAAATAATATATNACTTGACCATTGGCCTGGCTGTTGGGGGCGTGATGGAGTTCCCGGACTCCGCTAAAGACACCAAAAAGTTTTGGCGGAACGACCAAGCAAAGGTACGTGTTGGCACGGAAAGAAAATTGGTTTCAAGTCATTTTTTTTTTTTTTTTTTTTTTTTTTTTTTTTTTTTTTTTTTTTTTTTTTTTTTTTGATAAGGAAAAAAGAGAGAAAAGAAATTTGTTTGCACCCAAGGATTACGAGTTCGTGGTCTATCGGAACTCGGCGAAGAACGTCAATATGCAGAATGGGCTGACCATCACTCCGGTCCTGCTGAGCGAGGAGTACGGGGAAGAGTTCGTTAACACCGGGAAGATGACGCTCGAAAAGTAAGTGTACCGATTGCCATCCAAAAGTACGACCACAAAGTATTTTTAGAAAATTTATTTTACAAACACGTTGAATAACATTTTAAAACATTCGAAAAACGTTGTTATTTACAAGTTTACAACGTTGTAGAACAAAATTGTCACAACGTTGCAAAAACATTGAAAAGCGTTCGGTAATCTTTCAAACGAAAAATCACTTCTACTCTAAGTAATTAGTAAGAAAAAATCAACGTTGCAAAGTTGTTGGACCAACGATTATTCCAATGTTATTTTTAAACGCTGTGCGTGCTGAATCGTTGTCCCTATATACCTAATTGTCCACCAGTATTATTCAACGACATAGTAAAATTCGTACTTGGAGGGAAGGGGAAAGAAAAAAAAAAAAAAAACATGAACTATTGGATGATTTTTGCGCAACGCAGGTGCACGGGCAGCCAGGGGAGCTACGAGTGCCAGCGCACCGGTCGGTCCTGGAACATACTACCGGCCGTCACCTCCGGCCGGCTAAACAGCCGCAAGTTCCTCAATTTCGCGTACGGCCGGGTGCAAATAAAGGCCAAGCTGCCCCGCGGCGACTGGATTTACCCCCGTAAGTTATACACACATGTGCAACGTGTGCACGCCCATATCCGATTATTAGAGACTTACCTATAGTCACAAATCGGCTGTAAGCACGTAATTGACGATTGTAAGAACAATGGACATGACAGTTCTGATGCTGCAATCGGCGCGGGGCAACCAGCAGATCCGGGTAGCTTCGTCGTCCGGCAACACCGAGTTGACTCACAACGACAACGACATAAGCAACAAAATCCTGTGGGGCGGGAGGATCGATCGCGGCTCGTCGGCACTGGAGAGCTTCAACGGCCGGGACCGAAGCGTCGTGTACAACGCGAAGCTGTGGTCGGAGGACTTTCACGTGTACGAGCTCACGTGGAGTCCGGGGAAAATCATTCTGAGCGTCGACGGTGAAAAGTACGACGAGGTCACCAGCTCCGAGCTCAACACCAACTCTCCGGTAATCGTTTTACGGCCTTTTCCCTTACGTCTAGCTGATTGCGGATGATTATACATACTGGGCACGTACTTTTTTTTTTTTTTTTTTTTTTCATAATAAAATATGGGGGACCCGCGTGAACGCCTCCCCACTTGGTCAGTTATATTGTTTGGGTGAAAAAAGAAAAAATACGTGTCAAACATTTTTTGATAATCTGCTGTACACAGAATTTTCCTGCAAGTGATCCCGATTTATCGTGTAATTTATTGCTGCACTTATAGTACTACTTGACCATTGGCCTGGCTGTTGGGGGCGTGATGGAGTTCCCGGACTCCGCTAAAGACACCAAAAAGTTTTGGCGGAACGACCAAGCAAAGGTACGTGTTGGCACGGAAAGAAAATTGGTTTCAAGTCATTTTTTTTTTTTTTTTTTTTTTAAGTAGTACTGTAATGTTTTACTTTGAGAAAGTATCCTCATTACAAATAAGAAAAAAAAAAAAACAAAAAAAACATTATCTCACTCGGTATAACTGATTTAGTAAATATTTTCTTGTCTCCAAATGAATTACATTGAGTACGTTTTTTACTTTTTGACCTTTGTTTTGTTTTTGTTTTTCACGATAGGCTGCCTACAACTTTTACTTGAACAAACACGTCTGGTCGAAAACGTGGTTGAACAACGCCAAGTCTCTGAAAGTGGATTACGTGAAGATTTGGGCTCTGTAGGGGGAAAAGCTTGGATTTTCATCATCGACAAGGAAATTTTTTTTTGTTCTCTCTTTCCTGTTGATACCGATGATACTCGAACAAATTAAAGTTTCAGTGATGTGTACCTTTACTTTGCTGTAAATTTTGTTTCTCTTTGCACCTGTGCAAATGAGTGTGATTTTTGTTTAAACTCATGTGTAATATACAGGCAAGCTCATAACGCGTGCTTGCGTTTTGAATATTTATTTGAATCTCGAGGAAAAAAAATTTTTTTTTTCTTTCCTTGCTGTGGCTTTTTGCTTCTTACGAATATCGAATCTGACAAAAGATTCATTGAGTACACGTGAATTACCCCGATAAAATTTAACAATACAAACGCGTGTACGGTAGTGAATGTTTTTTTTTTTTCCATCACTTACACGATTTGAGCGCATGTGTTGATTTTACAGTCATTGCGGACGTGCGATCGGTTGGAAACTTAAACACACCTTGGCGTTAGTTGACTCTTTTGTTTAAATGAAAAAGAAAATCTTACAACACGCTTATCAATAAAACGAGACAAAGTACGATTTCCTCTTTTTATTTTTTTTTCATTTTGGAAAGTAAATTATCAGTTATCATGTAACACATGTAGGCTTTTATACTTGCGTCTGTTTTTTTTTTTGTTTTCAAATACTAATTTTGTAAAACTTTGAAGAAAAACTTTTTTTTCCCAAATAAAATTTACTCTATTTGATAAAACATTTTTTTATTCTTTACTATTGACAAAACAATACTAAAAAAAAAAACTTTTTTCTAACTAAAAAGTGCAACACATTATAGATATCGATGTTTATTGTAAAGTATTGAAAATGAAGCCTTTAAATACGGTTTTTACAAACTTGAACCAAGTTTTTGTCCAAATCAATTTTATTCCTAATTGCAATGGATTGTCATTGCTAAACAAATTTTATCAAGTACTGCGTTATAAGTAGTGTTAAAAAAAAAAGAAAAACTTCACACCCTGGTAAAAATGCATACCTAAGAAAAATTGAAAAAGTACCCGTGCCTGAGTCTGGTGACGGTACGGCTTTCATAAAAATGCAATCTCACAGATATACTAGGGAATACTTATTTAAACTTTTTTTATTCAAAATATTCTCTTGCGAGTAAAATGTCAGAATTGTTGTTCATGTTTTTTTCAAGCCTCGACTTGCAGTGCCAGTGTTGATGAAATAAAAAAAAAAAAAAAGATTGTTTAACGTTTCGTAATAGTTGTTTAATGAATTCGATAAACGTATGAAACCATTCAACAGCGCGGATGTAACTTTGACGGAAAATACAAACAGTAAGACATATAGGTATTAACATTGCGAGTGTTCTTATGTACAATGCAAGTGTATCGATGATATGTTACACATCATTACCTACCTGCTAAGTTACGAGGTGCTTTCGCGGGCAAGGGCGGTGGCACTTTGGACGGACTCGTGTTACTGTGGCTCGTTTTGGCGGGCTCTTTGTTGTCCTCGGGCTGAAAATCACAAGATCAATTATATTTCACGCACATAGCTCGTCCATCCGATATATTCGATGATCCAACACTCAATTTTATGCGCTTAAAAATTTTGATTTATAAATGCACGTTTGATACTTGTTCGTTTAACTGGGTGTAATTGTGAATTTAAAATTATAAAAAAAACGATTCGTCCATTCCATCCATTTCATTTTAAATAATCAAATACCTATACTATCTGTACTCAATACGATTTTTTTAAAAAATTATTTTTTTTCATACATTTTTGCGTACAATATATCTATATGCTATAAATACTATTGTATACCTTTCGATCGGGTCAGTATCGTTGATAAGTATAG